GCGGACTGTGCACGATCCCAGTGACTTCGAGGTCCGCATGGACGAGGGTGAGGCACATGCGAAGACGCGACGCCCATACGACCGCGTGGCGACTGGAACGGGGAGGTTGAGTGGGTGGGGAGAGGCGCGCTGCGCCCTCACGTCCGCTCTGAGATAGTTTTCGAGCCATCGCAGCAGCGGAGATCGCTCGCCATCGACCCCGTCGCGTCCAGCGCGGTGGGTTCCTCGGGGGGGGGCGAAATCGTCGAGTCCACCGGGACGAGCTGCCGGCGGCGTTTCGTCCCGACGGTGGCCGTGGGCATTTTGCGCCGGTGCCACCGCACGGCGAGGGTCGCGCCGATCTCGCGCCACCACGGCGGCGGATGGAGGCCTTCCCAGTCGGTTGGGACCACCTCTCGGCGGCGCTGAGACGACCGGCACCGGCTTCGGCCCGACGCCGCCGGCGCGGCGGGCCTCACGAGGCGTCATCCCCTTCTTGGCTGGTCCCAGGAGCCCCTTTCGGGTAAGCGATGTCGCACGGGACCACCAGCTGCGCCCCTAAGAGCCTCTGGGTTGACACTGGCGTGGGGCGCGGGCGACCAACGCGCGTAAGACGATTAAAATGGGGGAGCGAGCAAAATTTAATCATAATGTCATTTAGCTCGATTAGAGGAGTTTTGATGAATCTTTCACAATCTGCTACGAAATTAACTACTCACACAAATCAATAGCGCCACTAACTGCTTTTATTTTAAATAACTTCCGGCCTTCATGCCAGTTGTCTTATTATCCTGGTTGACTAGGGTACTTTGCCCTAGGAACTCCGCTCAGCCTAGGATTGTATACCCGTATCCGTCTTCCCATACCGGGTATTTCGGTTTTGGGCGTCCGTCATCCCGTAGACGGGTACGGCGCGGCTGCAGGGCTCGGCCGCGACGAGTCGCGCCACGCCACGCGCCACGCGCGGGCGCGCGAGCCCGAATTCGCTCGGCTCGAGGCCACGCGCCGTCGATCCGATGCGCGCTTCGCGCCGCCCTCTCTCATGTAGAGAACAAAATATATATTATCCAAGAATCCAATCCGCTGATCTCATTGGTCGGACGAGATTTCAGAGCTCTGAGTTTCGAGCATGGTCCAACGGTCTCTGGCGCTGCGTTGGGCATGTTGTGGTTCGCATATCCCCAAGCGCACTTTGATTGTGCTTAATCACACTCGCGTTCAACGAAGTTCTGACCTCGATAGTCGCCGTTTATCATAGGTCAGTCCACGTAACTCTCGCAGCT